AAGTTGGCGTAGAATGGCGTAACAAGTGTTGTTTCCGTTGTTGAACTGTTGTAGGCGAACTCTGCTAGCGGCAGCAGTTCGACCCAATCGTCCTGTTGATAGTTCACATAGCAACGAAGGTATGTCTCAACCACTTGATTCATGCGTTCGTTTCCTCCATTTGTCTGAGGGTGGAAAGCTGTTGATAGCTTTCTCTTCGCACCCAAGCGCTCCGTGAGGGCAGTCCAGAACAATGAGGTGAAGAGTTTGTCTCTGTCTGAGACTATCTCTTCCGGTAGTCCATGCTTCGAGACTACTTCCTTGAGGAATGCGAATGCTAATTCCTTGGCTGTACTTGATTCTCTATATGGCACCAGAATCATATATTTCGTCAGCCTTTCCATGATAACCAGGATCGAATCGTACTCGACTCCTGTCATCGGATCCTTGGATTTCGGTAATTTCACAATGAAATCCCAAGAGATCGACTTCCAAGGGGTTGGTGGTATCGGAGTAGTGCCCATCTGCCCATAAGGCGCATGGCGGGAAGCCTTGTTCCTAATACAGGTATCACACTCCGCTATCACTTCCTTGACTACGGCGGCTACCCTGTCAACGTGGTAGTACCGTCTAATTCTCTGGAGAGTTCGTCGAACTCCCTGATGTCCATGGGCCGGTGCCGCATGGTATTCCGCAATGAATTCTTTTGCGTATGAGTCCGGGACCCAGGTCTTCCCATTCTTAAATTCTTCGATTCCGTCTTTGTCCTGAGCTGCCTTGATTTTGTTGTCCCAAGGGCTCTCCCTGGTTGTAGCAGCGATTTCGTGAATCGTAGGGGTGAGGTCTCCGTTCTCAAGAGTCTTTAAGATCGCAATCTTCTTATACTCTTTATCTCCTTCGTAGCCTGGTTTCCGGCTAAGCGCGTCTGCTCGCGCATTTGAGGTTCCGCTGACATGACGAATCACAATGTCAAATCCCGCGAGGATTTGTGACCACCTAGCGAGTCTCCGGTTACTGAGCTCCTTGGTTGTCGTAAATGTCCTTAGATTCTCATGGTCAGTAAGGATCGTTACCTGGTGCCTTGCACCCTGAAGGTAAATCTTCCAATGCTCTAAAGCCAGGACTATAGCGAGAAGTTCTTTCTCAAAGATACTATAGTTCTGCTGAGCGGAATCCAATGTTTTCGAGAAGTATGCGACAGGCATAAGCTTCCCGTTGTCGTCTGGCTGTAAGTGTACAGCCCCGACCGCTGTGTCCGAAGCGTCTGTCTCAACAGTGCTTGGTTTGTCGACATCGTGGTTCCGAAGGATTGGCTCCTTAGCGAACCGTTGCTTGATTTCCTGAAAAGCTTGTTCCGTCACCTTGTCCCAGAAGAATGGTTTATCTTTTCTGGTCAAGTCTGTTAGGGGTTTAGACAATCCAGCGTAGTTCCCTATGAACTGTCGACAAAAGTTGGCGAATCCCTGGAATGATTGGACGTCCTTGACGTTCTCCGGTGACTTCCATTCCACGATTGCCCTGATCTTTTCCGGGTCAACTTCCATTTGACCGGGACTGATCACATATCCTAGGAAGATAGTACGAGTTACTCCGAACTCGCACTTCGATAGCTTGAGGCGGGAGTCCACGGCAGCGAGTCTTCGTAAGACTTCTCTGACGTGTCCCTGATGATCTTCCTTGTGCTCTGAATACACTAGAATGTCGTCTAGGTAACAGATGACAGTCACTCCTAGAAGGTCCTCTAGAATGCTGTTGTTTTGTCTCTGACAAGTAGCTGGTGCGTTCGTAAGTCCGAACGGCATCACATTATACTCGTAGAGTCCTGATGGCAAGACGAATGCCGTCTTCCATTCATCTCCCGGCTTGATCCTAATCAGGCCGAAAGCATTTCGTTGGTCGAGCTTGGTAAATATCTTGGCGCGGCCTAACTTGTCCCGCAAGTACTGGCCGGTTGGTAACGGATAAGCGTCCTTAACCGTAGCGTTGTTGACTTCTCGGTAGTCGACACAAGCTCTTCCTTTCGGATCGTCTTTTTTCTTGGCGATCAACATATTCGAAGCGATTGGTGAATCCGACTTCTGAATACGTCCCTTCTGTATTCCTTCTCTGACGTACTCCTCGAGTAGTTGAAGGTTCCTCCAATTGTGAGGTCGAAGCTTCTGCTTCCTGAGGTCATGACCCTCTTTCAATTTGATCTCGTGATCCCATGGGCGATGTTCGGGAAGGGCACGCATGTCCTCCGGGTTCTCGAACAGATCCTTAAATTCTCTATACTGCACAGGTAACTCTGAATCGGCTCCCTTGCCGACCTGTGGATGACCCTTTCCTAGGTGTCCGGGCTCTCTGGAAGAAGTGGCGCAAACTTCGTTCCGGCCATGTAGTACTCTAGAATATATCTATTTAACCTAAGCTACCTTTACTTATAAAATTACTCTTATTATAAAATATACCTTACCTATTAAGATCTAAGCTATTAAAGATATACTTAATAGGCTAGATAGTTTACTTATTAAATATAAAATATAAAGTTATATAATTCTAACTTATATAACATTCTAGATTTAAAAGAAAGATTTATAGAATTATATTACTAGATTAGAAAAGTTATAAAAATAGTATAAATATAATTAAAATAATAGTTAAATAATATAAAAGTATTAAGACTAACTTTATTTTAGGTATATAGTTAAGTATACTATCTAATACTACTTAGATAAGAGTTAAATAAGAATACTCGTATTTATAAAAAGGGTTTACGCTTAGTACTATAATAACTTTAGGCTATATTTTTATAAAGGGTAGTTAGATATAATTAAGTTAATTGTTAATTGATTAATTATGTAGAAAGGACAAGTACTAGCTATAAGTACTCGTATATGCTAAGCTTTCCGATATCCACGTGATAAAAGTGGTGGATATATCGCAACAACTCCTGTAACTCAGCTCCAGTGACTCAGTGAGCCCGGGTTTCTGATTCTGGGGGCGAGATATGGACTGTTAAAGAGAAGTAGGAAGACTTTAGTAGAAGAAGAAGATTGAAAATAACTGTTATGGGCGGGTGGGGTTTATGATGTAACGAGCAATATGACTCTGATCAAGATCAAGATCTGTTAACTATATGTGCCATATTTGGTGATAGTTTCGTCGACAATATAATAATATGTGCACATTTCATAAAGGAACTGTCTACAAAGTGTTTTTGAAAAAGCTGTTGGATTCATCAGTAGCCACAGGACACACCAGGTAGCAAAACGGCAGGCTGCAAATTGCAAGCCTTTGTAGTTTTGTAGATACTCTATTTCAGAGGAAAGTTTGGGGAAAGAGTGTTTAAAACGAATTAGACAGGCATTGCAAATTCTGCAACAGAACTGGCTCCCATTTTGAGGCTTCTGAGCAGTGTTCTAAGTAGACATACAAATGGGGTTTTGGATTTTCTCAACACAAAAGAACCGCTCAAGTTTCGCCACACCCTCGCATTTCACTCTGCTTGAGTGTTCTCTGTGATTTCGCCGTTGAGCTCATGATACAGAAGTATGATTCCCTTGCAACTCACTGGATATTGAGACTCATCAACACAAAATATTGAGGTTGCGCCTTTGACTTTCCACCTTTGCATCCAGTCACTAAGCGAACGTAGCCGGTTATATATATACTCACCCAGGAGGGTTCTGGAAAGTTATGGATCCGAAAACAGGTTCGAAATTCCAAAGAACCAAAATAATGTATGGTAAGCTAGGCCTCGTCTGGACAATACTGGCACCGTCGAAAGCAAGGAAAGAAACTGCCACAACAGGAATAAGTGGTCATCTGTAGTCATCTGGCCCTTGGCCATTTAACTGTAGGAACATAAGCAAAGGTTTCTTATGAGCATTTTACCACATATGAACTTTCATTCTGTGCGCGAAAGAAATGCATGATTGCCCCCTGGAGAACTCCAGAATGTAGTGTGGAACCAATGAATAGTTTGTCCCGTTTAAAGTTTTCCCTCTATCCTCATAGAAGAAAACCAAACCAAGAGTGGGCGGAGAAACTCGACCGAGTAGGAGCACATCGAATCGATGAGACTATCTATTTTGGAATGCGCAGCAGGAGAGTATGCTATTCTCGATGCAAGTGTTCTCACCAAAGCTTGGTATAGATTTATTTGTGATGTGCAATTCTGTGAGGACGAAGATTCTAAAATTAGAAAATGCTGTGCAAAAACAGTCACGTGCGAGAGGCTTAGCTCAAAACTGCTTGAAGGCAGCCAATCGGTTGTCAATAATTTCAATAATGGGTGATGCCTTAGCGCCCGATCGCGATTAAGTTGTTAACGCTGACATTCTTTCAAAATCTCTTATATACACCAGATTTGGGTAAGGCTCGTTGTTTCAGCAATATCAAGTCATAGAGTGGTGATTGAATAGCTTTCAATGTTTCTTTTATCACAATATCATATCCAAGTGCCGTTATGGATCATCGAAGTTATTCTTCTGTGATTAGCGGAAAACTCATCCCCCGCCAACAAGCTGTCCTACTCGGGATGGAAAGTGCCTGCATGCTAGCGGCACAATGCCAATTCATTCAAAGCCTCATTTACAGAAGTGTCTATGAGTGGGTGAGAAAGTGACTTTTCTGTATCGCCAGAAGCAGATACAGAATTATCGAAAATGGACAACTGCGCCTCATCAAAATGACATGCACATATTTTACCGAAATTTCGTACGCGCTCCCGATATTAATAAAATGTCAAGGTTGTGACCTTCCCTGGTCTCGCTCTTTTATATGATAATATATTTTCCTTCCTTTCTGGCTTTTTGAATATCTTCAACAAATCGTGCCCTTTTTTTGCGTGCAGGAATGAACCTTAAAACCCCTTTTTTAACAGGGCTTTATACCCCGCTCCTCGTTTATTTCCAATATGCATAGAACGATAAGAAAATCTAGCGAGGCCCCTGAGGTGGTCGATACGGAATGCGAAGGAGGTATTTGGGGATATGGAGAACGATTGAAAAGAAAGAGACCTGGGGCAGGAACATTGTCGCAGAAACAATTGGATCCATTCGATACAGAATCTAGTAAATATCCATCTCCAATTCTTCCGACCCCGCGGAGAGATACTACGCCTAGTCTTCCAGATTTGCCAATCGAGAGACGAAGGATGAGTTTTGGATTGATCACCACTATCTGTCTGGTTTCACTCGCCTTTATTATTGGCGGAGGAGTTGGTGGAGGTGTTGGAGGGGCTTTGGTTGCGAAGGAGAGATCAAAGACTTGGTAGGTTCTCTTCTCATCTACACAATCTAACTTCAATCTTCTGTTGAATGAAAGCTGACCTAGTATCTCATAGCTCCGTACAACCAAGCAATACAAACACCGCATCACCTTCAACCCAAACAACTCTCGCATTCGATACAGCAGGATGTCCAGGCATCAACCAAGACAGATACAATTCCACGACACCAGGAAAACACTTCCTACAGTCCTGCTATATGGATATCGTCCCACAGCCAGGAGAGAACATCTCAATGGGAAACAAATCGGTCGCAAGTTTCAACGATTGTTTAAATTCATGTGCACAACTAGATGGGTGTCTAGCGGCAACATGGATTATGTTTTCATTCTCGGCTCCGCGGAATAACGCCGTATGTTTCTTCAAAAATACCGTTGGCACACCGTCACAGCAAGTGGCAGGGGATTCTCTAGTCACCGGATTCTTGATCACGCAAGGATAATCTGCATTTGTGTATATAATTGCATTTGGGCGGAGTTCTGCATATGAGGTAGGAAACCCATACATTCGCTTATGATGGTCATTACGTGGGGCTTGGGGCAACGGAGAGTAGATGATGCGGGAAGCTCCTGGCTCGTTTTGAATATCCATTTAGGATGACTTCCCAACCTGTACGTATTTCTGATTCTTGGCCCGACAATGGGCCAACTGTCCGCCTATAAGACACTATCGCATAATTCAGATAATATGATTTTGATTCCTCGAGTTTCTAGGTGCCTGCACATGCTTCCCTGTTCCGCGTTTGCATATTCCTGGATCTGCTGCTCCACATTTTGTACATATCGCTAGCCCTGATGATCTAGATATTCCAGGCTTCACAGGTTGACGACACGCATCCACCTGCTATGTGGTAATGGAGTGATCAGAGTATTGGATGAAAGCCCGAATGTATTCTTTGCTTTCTCATACATTGTATCAATAAAGAGGTTTGATGCAGTTGTGCTGTCATGCAGCTTGCCGTCTATCCAGCATGCTGCCATGCAGCCGCAGCCCGCAGCCTCATCGACTTCTTCATTGGAGTAAAAGAGAGAAAGCGCAAACAGAAGCTGCTCTATTCCCGCACAATAAGCTCTGTCTCCCTGTCTGATCCGCCCCTCGCCTTTTCATGCCTGGTAATCAAATCCAGAAAAGGCATAATTAGGCAATAAAACAATGCAAACAAATATGCTGCTTGTCTTGACAGGCCTCCTGGAGGTTCGGGCCTTCTTTTCTACAATGACAATGGAGACCCATTGGATCTTATTCTTCTTGCAGAGAATATATGCAATTCACCGAAACGCCAATCCCTCTCCGGAGATTTTCAAGTTTTGCGCTAGAAGAGCGGGGAAGATGGGATCGTATATTCGACGCGAGAGACTAAAACCCCCATGGTCTTTCAAACTTGCGCTTTCTCTCCAATCTGCACTCCCAGAGTGTCTTAAGATTCGGGGTTCTTCTCATGAGTTTGAATCACCCATCTTCGCGGGCATCTGAGAAGCCATCAACTATCGTGAAATTCTTTAAACGCCGACTGTCAAGATCCTCCGTACAACACCCGCGACCGTTTGGGGATCGGAGAGTTTTGCCGCAAGCTTCAGTGGTAAGTTATCGATTACAGAAGCTCTCACCTATTGCTTACTAACTTCTTCACAACAATAGACCACAAGCACGATGGGAAAAGGCAAAGATAAGAGAGCCAATCGGCACGAAGATGAATCTTGCAGCAATGAAGAACCCATTGAGCCTCCTGGCCATCCTCGTAAAGGAGATCGAAAGGGTGAAAGCAGCACGAGCAACAGCACTCCTGCACAACCACAAGGAGGCCCTTCAAATCAAGCAGATTCTCAGGCGTCCTATCAGCCAGACCAGTTTACTTTGGCGGTTCGTCAAGGACTCCCAAAACTCTCGGAAGCCATACAGGTTCTCAAAAATTTGGAAGTTCTCTACGCGAAGCACAAGACGGATGTGGAGAATATTTCAGAAATTCACCAGCTTTGTGAAAACCTGCAGCAAGAGTGTGAAGCCAAGGACTCTGAGATCCTGGATCTTGAGAGTTACACTCGAGTTCTGATAAGGCATGCAGAGAAGGAAAAGGAAAAGCACGAACAAGAAATATGCAGACTTGCTAATGAATCCGAAGCTCTGGAGAAGGAAAAAGCAAGTTTCAAGGGTGAGGTGGAGAAGGAGAAAAAGAGGTTGGAGATGAGAAAATTTGAACTAGAGAAGGAGCACGACAACAAACTCAAAGAAGCCGAGCGAGAACAGCGACAGCGTTTTGAGAAACAAAAGAAGCATATAGAGAATCAGACGAAGGAGCAAGTTGCTAGAATGGAAAGGCAGCTGAGAGCGTCTGAGTCAACTAATAAGGATCTGCAGGAAGGAGTCAACGAGACGGGACAAAAGCTGGCTGAGACAATGACGGAGCTTCAACAAGTCAAAACCCGATGCGATGACGAAACCCGTCTCAAGGAACATTTCAGGGAGGATGTGAAGAAATATCAAGTGAGAGTAGTGGAACTACAGAATGAGTTCCAGCTTGGAAATAAGACACCAGATTTCTTGTACGTATAATCGGGCTGCCTTGTATCATCAAAATAAGTCAACTGACAATTCCTACAGCAAGACCGAATTCAAGAAAGTTTTCACCCAAATTGATACACTGGGGCTTGAGTACTTCTCAAAATTCAATGAAAATGTTGTCCTCCCTGTTGCACAATGAGAAAATACACTAACAACTCCACAGGAAGAGGATGATATTCGAAGAATCGTGGCAACTTCGAGTTCTTCCTTCAAATTCATGCCTATTTCCGACACACTGGAATCCCAAAAGTTGCGCATTTCTCATGTCCAACAAGTAATATCTTCTGCCCTACTGAAGTCAATCTGGAAACCGTTTGCCTCAGAGAACAGTCTTCAGAGCTCGGACTTTTGCCTTCTTGAATCCCTCGCAGCTAGACTAGCGGTTCCTGTCAATGGCGTAAGGAGTAAGCGAGTATCACGTCTGTGGTCAGCACTGACAACCCGTTCTCTTTGTTCAACGGAAGCAGTCTCATCATCTTCAGCGGCAGCCTTGTTGTTCCATGGTCCTACCCTGAGCTGGGCAGAACAGGTCTCCAGAGATATTCATGGGGACATCCTACCATTTGCGGATCCATCGAAAGTGATTTCACTCTACGACGAAATTTTCAAGATTGTCACCTCGGCCATCGCTCTTTGGAAGGATGTGCAGAATGACCAATTGGAAATTACCATAGATCTGGTACTCGACCTCAGGCAGCGGGAAGACTGGAGATCTCAACGCCTTGATCCACAAGGTATCGATTTGCAACTTGAGTCCAAGATAGCAACTCGACCAAGGGTTTTCAGATTGTTCCCACGCATCACGGCATTCCCCTCTGAAAACCCAGAAATGGATTCCTCAAGTGAGCCTGAAGAGATTTGTATTCATCCTGGTGTTGGAGTACCGGAGTCAGCTCCATGGGTGGCTGCCGGAAGGGCAGAAGAGGAGGATAGAGTGAGGATATTGGCAGAAGGTATGGAGGAGTTGAAGAAGAGTGCGAATGAAAGAGCAAAAAGAAGATCTTGCAGGAGTAGAAGAGGATCTACGACTTCAATTGTTGGCGCCTCTAGCCCTACATCGCTTTGGAGAAAGGAAGGAAAGAATATGATTGCTGAGGAATAAGGCATTGTTTCGATATGACAACAAAAGATTGTATTTTGAATACTAGAAACCGTGAGTTATTTGCCAGTGTGGTAGACCAAATGATTGTTCATTTAGAGTCTACCCCTTAATGTATTGTTAGTTCTTTTGCTGTTTTCTGGTAGGCCCTCTGGGAACTTATTATTAGGACATTCCTAACACTGTATAGAAATTCCTAACACAGGCCTAATTAGGTAGTTAAAAGTAGAGATTTAAGTAATATAAAGTAGGCTTCTCTACTTTTTGCCCTTTATACTTTATTATCTCCTACTAAGCGAGGATTAGTAATAATTTTATATCTAATTATCTCTTAAATTTCTATTCTCTTATAATAAATTATTATATTTAAATAAAGTAAGTATAATAAAGAAACTAAATATTAAAAAAACCTTTAATTATCATAAAGAATATACTTATAAAGAAAGTACGCTTTTATATATTACTCTTAGCTCTTAAGAGAAAATAACTTCCTCTTTTTTATATCTCGCCCTTTAACTATAAAATACTACTTCCTAGGACTACTAGCTTCTAGGTTAATGTAACGAATACTCAAACTGGCTAACTAAATGTAACGAATACTCAAACTGGCTAACTAAACTTGGCTGGGTGTTCGCTGGTTGGTATGCTATGATAAGAAGAAGACTATCGGGTTGTTCACTTGGAAGTGAACTCGTTACTTGTATCAAAGATGTCAAACAAATATGATAAGATTGATAACTAAGTTGAGCACGAAGCTCCTATCTAATGGCAGACGTGCCAGTCTTATATAGAACCTTCATACCCCGCGTATGGTCCGAGTATAGAGTAGTATAAGCCTCCCTTATACTTCCTCATACTCCGGTAGTATAGAGTAGTATAAGCCTCCCTTATACTTCCTCATACTCCCTAGTCACATGATCTTCTGTAAGGAAGAAATCCTTGGATC